ACGGTGAAGCCAGGCGATCCGGTTTGGCCTCTTCTCTGCCAATTGGGTTGATCCGTAGGCTCATTCCTGGCTTTCCCCCCCACTTCGGGTGCCAACGGACGAGGGAGGGAGTGGAAGGGGAAGAAAAAAAGGAAGAGAGAAAAAGAGAGGAAGGAAAGGAGAAAGGGAGGGAGGAGATGGCAACGATGGAGGAAGGAATAGAGAGAGGGAAGGAAGGAAAGGAGGGAGGGAGGGAAAAAGGAAAAGAAGAAAGGGGAGGAGGGAGGTGATGGAAATGACAGGAAGGAAGGAATAGGGAAGGAAGGAAAGGAGGAAGAAGGGAGAGAGGAAGGGAAGGGAAGGAAGGAGGGGAGCAAGAAAAAAAGGAGAGAGGGAGGGAGGAGATGGCAACGATGGAGGAAGGAATAGAGAGAGGGAAGGAAGGAAAGGAGGGAGGGAGGGAAAAAGGAATAGAAAAGAAAGGGGAGGAAGGAGGTGATGGAAATGACAGGAAGGAATAGGGAAGAAAGGAAAGGAGGAAGAAGGGAGAGAGGAAGGGAAGAGAAAAGGAGGGGAGGAAGAAAAAAAGAAAGGGAGGGAGGCGATGGCAACAATGGAGGAAGGAATAGAGAGAGGGAAGGAAGGAAAGGAGGAAGGAGGGAGGGAGGGAAAAGGGAAAAGAAAAGAAAAGAAAGGGGACGAGGGAGGTGATGGAAATGACAGGAAGGAATAGGGAAGGAAGGAAAGGAGGAAGAAGGGAGAGAGGAAGGGAAGAGAAGGAAGGAGGGGAGGAAGAAAAAAAAGAGAGAGGGAGGAGATGGAGATGAGAGAGGAAGGAATAGAAAAAGGGAAGGAAGAAAAGGGTGGGAGGGAGGAAGAAGGGAGAATGGGATGAAAAGGAGAGAGGGAGGAAGAGGAAAGGAGGGAGGGAGGGAGGTGACGGAAATGACAGAAGAAAGAAATAGGAAGAGGGAAGGAAGAAAAAAGAGAGGAAGAAGGGAGAAAGGATAGGGAGGGAGGAAGAGAAAAAGGAAGAAAAAGAGGAAGGGAGGAAAGAAATGGAAATGATAGAGGAAGGAAAGAAGAGAGAGAAGAAAGGAAAGAAAGGAGAGAAAGAGGGATAAAGAAGGAAGAAAGGATGAAAGGAAGGAAGGAAGCAAGGGAGAGGGGATAAGAAGGAAAGGAGGGAGGGAGGGTGATTTAACAAGGAATGTGTGGGAGTCAAGCCAGTCCTAATTTCAATTTTTCTTCTTTTTCGAGGTCATCACGCTCAGCGCCTCGGCCCAAAACGTCACCAGCGAAGGGACCAAAGGCAACTTTTTAAGTTCCTCCTTAGCCAGCGGGGTTGCTGTCATGGTGGCCGTGCACGTCTCGGGGGGCGTCTCAGGTGGGCCCCCCTGCAAACCCCTCTGAAAGGCGGCTGGTTGGGGAATCCTGGGAGTCGAAGCCCACCCCCCTTAAAGGGACCAAAGTGGGAGAATATTGCAATAGTTGATGATTATGTTGGTGACGATTGACCAAAACCTTTCTCTTTCTCTCTGTCTCTGTCTGTCTCTTTCCCTTTCTCTCTCTTTCTCTTTCTCTCTCTTTCTCTCTCTTTCTCTCTCTCTCTTTCTCTTTCTCTCTCTCTGTCTTTGTCTCTCTCTCTTTCTCTCTCTCTCTTTCTCCCTGTCTCTGTCTGTCTGTCTTTCTTTCTCTCTCTTTCTCTTTCTAAAAAAAATTCTCTCTCTCTTTCTCTCTCTTTCTCTTTCTCTCTCTCTCTCTCTGCCTCTCTCTTTCTCCGTCTGTCTTTTTCTTTCTCTCTTTCTCTTTCTGTTTCTCTCTCTTTCTTTCTCTTTCTTTCTCTTTCTCTCTCTTTCTCTTTCTGTCTGTCTTTCTCTTTCTCTCTCTTTCT